TGAAATGATCTCAGCTAGCTATCTCACAGTAAGCTATCTTTTGAAGATACAATCTGAGCCTAGCTGAGAGATTAGCTAAATAGTTTTCAATCAAATTCCCCCGATAGATCTCCCATAATTTCTTAAGCTATCCACAAAATAAAGCCCCATGACCTGATGGGTTTCCAAACAACTTTTATAAAATATTTCAAGAAGAATTAACGCTGTGAGATGACATAAGCAAACATCACATCAATACTGAAGAAAACAAGGAAAAGACAATACTCAGATAAAAAACTATAGACCGATTTCATTAATGTTGATATAAAGATCTACTCATTGATCCTTCAGATAGATTAAAAAAAAAAAAAAGTAATTCATAAACTGATTCATTAGGATCAATCAGGCTTTATAAAGGGAAGCGCAGCAGAGGATACTGTTACAAACTGCCATTTGTAACTGTTATTTTATTTGACAAATTGCCCTGCTTCCCTGTGTTATGGAGAAGCCTAATTGCCAGCCTTCTGCCCCATGACTATGGACCTAGTGTGTATGGCGATTTGACTGTATTTGTGGGATCGGAGCGCTGTTTGGATATATTGAGCGCTCAGATCCAAGCCATCTGAATGTGGGGGTTCTGTTCAGTTCAATAGGAGTTATGTATTTTTGTGTCTTTTTGTGTCTTTTGCTAACATGTGGTTAATGGAGTCTGCCTCTATCCCTGGATAATTGGATTACTTTCCCCATTGTCCAGGATAGAGGCCTCTGTAAAACCGGTTTGGGCCAGAAAACCATGCTGCCAGCCAGGCCCCAAAAGACACTTTTGCTAACTTTTGAACCCCTTGTCTGATTTGTGCCATTTTTTAATATGTTGCTCCCCTTAATGGATTGATTCCAAATATGTAATTTTTATGAAGATTGGATGTGTAGTTTGGAAGTTATAGTACATGTATAAAAACTGTATTTTTACTGTGCTGTTTTAATTATGTGATTATCTGAGGGATGGGAATTTCCCCGAATGTATATTGTTCCGATTGGTTATACTGCTAATTATGTGGGTGTCTCCCTTGCATGGGCAGAATCTCATAAAAGCAGAGTGTGTGCCATTAAACATCAGATCTTCTTAACCCTCAATACGTAGCCTTGTCTCGTTATTGGAGGGAACTGCTATATCACACTGGGGATTGCTATGCTCTGCATACTCCCCTGAGCTTTTAATCACTTAGCTCTTTTAAGAGCTGTTCCTGTTACGCTCTCCTGGAGGAGAGGTCTTCCCCACACGGTCCTGGAGGACAGAAGCTGATCCAGGGTGGAAGGAAGACGGCGAGACTCCAGTTAAGCTACGGCGGTTGTGGAGTCTGCGGTGGTTGTGGTGTCTGCTGCAGTGTTTGGAGTCCTCAGGAAGCGCTAGGAGCATCCATCAACGGAGGGTACTCGGTCAGAGTACAGGGAGCTCCGTTACAGATACTATTAGGAAAAATCGAAATATTATAATGATGGCTAAATTAAGAGGAGAGTCCTTGCTGGCCCTGTCACTTGGTGCCGAGAATGCCTTTGACAGGGTCAGATGGACCTACCTCAAGGAAATATTGGAATGTTATGGTATAAGAGGTCCTTACCGTGATGCAATATGGGCTTTATACGTAAGCCCTTCAGCAAGAATAATGGGCTCAGGAGTGAAATCACCGTTGTTCAAAGTCAGCAGTGGAACAAGCCAGGGTTGTTCACTAGCCCCCTATGCTCTACATTTTGTCAATTGAACTCTTTGCTCAAAAAAATAGATTGAATCCAAAAAAATAGAGGGAATAATGTTTAAGAATAAACTCCAGAGAATTTCACTATTTGCAGATAATATCCTGTTGACTTTAAAGAATCCAAACTTTTCTCTTCATGAATTATTAAACGAAATACAAAGTTTCTCCTTAATTTCCTACTATAAAATATTGAGAAATGCCAAGCTAAGTAATGCAATATATTAAAACAATGAGTTAGTGCATATAACTGGTAGAAGCTCTCAAATTAAAGAGTTAAAATAAAAAATAAAAAGTGTTAATAGAACTTATTTGTAAAATGTTACTCTGCAGAATGATCATACAGATAAAAGTATTGTCCTGATGCATATGGAGCACTCTTTATGATTCCAAGGTCATATAGTCCACACTATAAATGTAGTAGCCACTATAGGTTCTCCAGCACTTCTGGGGTTATGATTCAAATAGCAATCTATAGGTATAAGCAGGGGAGGGCTGACAGCCTTAGTCCTGGGGGGACAAATCCAGTCAAGTGGCCTTTTGCACCACTGAATCAGCTCACCATCCACGCCCACCTTTTCCTTGTTTTATAACGGATATTGATGTTATGAAGCAAGACAAAATATGATACAATGTGGTTTAACATAATTGTAATAGCAAAAAATAATGTTTAATAAAAATAAAATCTACAGTTTTAACAAATGAACAATGTATGGACACAATACACTTTTTCAAAAAATACAGAAGCCAGAGAAAGAAATATCTGTATAAAACTTTCAAACTAAATATTTGATCAAACGGTTAGCAAAGACCTCAAAGGAAAAACGTTGACAAATAATTTCCAATACATCTGGAAACTGGACTGTAATGGCTACCCCAGTTGGAGAGGGGGTATCAGCCATTGGAGACGTCCTTCCCAGCAAGCTGCTTTGCAGTAGTGGAGTTTCTTTATCCCATCTGCTGGATCCAAATAGAGAGCAGGACCGAGCTCTTAAAAGAGCTAGTGATTATGCTGAGCAGGTTCCCTTTCAATAACAAGACAAGGCTACGTTTTGAAGGGTCAAGAAGAACTGAGGTTTAATGACAGGTATTCTCCTTTTATGCAGTGCTCCCGTGCAAGTGAGACACCCACAGGCAATTATACAGTGACCAATAAAACAATGGTTACATTGCACAAATTCACCCCCCTCTACTTAGGAGAAAATAGAGTTTCTTACTGTATCTACACAATTATCTCCAAGCTAAAAAAATTCCACTTTTTAAACTTTATAACTTTCTCATTTTACATGGTACATGAAAAATATATTTTTATGAACATTATAACTTCGGGAACAACATATTCAAAATTCATTCAAATCTCTTTGGTGGTTCAGGAGGTAGTAAAACGTCCTTTGAACCGACCGCACGCCTGTGGGTATGTCCAAAAACAGTTCCACAGATTCAGGCTGTGCGGTCAGTCTATTCTTTCATTCAATGAAAATCCCTATTAACACGAACGGATTCATTCATGCTTGGACTCGTTGAATTCAGCCAGTTCGTGAGTCTATTTTAACGAAAGAGCGCTCTGTTCGGATGAATTTAGCCGAACGCATGGAGGATGAAAGTTTCAGCAGTGCTCGTGGAAAGTCTAGCCAAACTTAGTTCCACGCGGTCGACGACGAAACACCGCTGAGTGTGTTCGACTATCCAAAATGGCCGCTGCCACGTGTTCGTGCAAACGAACATCGACCACCCTGTATATCAATTAAACCCATGGAGTGTTCGCGGTTTTCATGGTAATCTTACAGTCAGGGAGGTAAATAAGTGACACAATTTTGTTCTGGGTGGTTGGGCGTTCAGTACAAAATTCGGTATTCGAACGTTCTTGTCTTGTATATCCATTACACGGATAGTCTTTGTCTTTAGGTGCAGGGTACAGTGGGGGATGGCAGGAAAAAGGGTTGAGATTCCCAGGCACATTGTAGGGGTTTGTTACATGGACCTGTTCCAGAAGATCTCTCTCCACTGACATGAGCATTAGAGCATCAAGCAGTTCTTGTCCCATTGTGGCTCGCAGTCGGGTCTTGAGTTTTGGCGTGCTGAATGCTCCCTCATATGAAACTTGTGTAAAAGAAAAGGTCAACAGGTACTCATAGGTGATAGAAAGATTTTCATAAGCTGCAGAATAAAGGTTTTATTTTAACAACAACCTGTGACAACAAAGAAAGCACTGCTTGCAAGAACCGCACTTTGATTCCTTTTGTACCTCAACTAGTTTGTCAGTAGGTGGAATCCAGTCATTAATCTCCTCCTCAAGAATCATTTCCACTTTCTGTGTCTCATCTTCAGAAAGACATCCTGTAATACTTGGAAAGAAGTTGGCAAAATGTATTAATTCCGTTTTGAGAGAACTTTCATTTACTTTGGCTAACTTAGAAATTCTCTCTAGTGCCCCTCCATCTAGCACTTTGGGATCTGTCCTAACTTTCTGAAAAGTGCGAGGATCCAAGTAGTGGGAATCCATGACCCCACTACTTTTCTGAAAATCTCTGTCATGCTTTGTATGATTTGGTCCAGAATTGATCTGAACACACTAGCTCGAAAACATTGCATTTTATCTTCAGGTGAAGATTCTCCAGCCAAGCATTTTTTTCGTGCCACTCTTCGAACTAGAAGCATAGTCTAGACTTCCAAGGAGTTGAGAACATCACTTTCATCCATTAATTAATTTGTTTTTATTGCAAAGTGTTCAGCATTTTGTTTTAGATAGTTGAAATCAGTTGCTCAACTGCACATTCGACCATTTTCCATTTTACCTTGAAGTCAAGGCCACTGGTTTGTAGATATTTTGACACTGGCCCTATAACACCAAAAACCTGTAAAAATAGGTTTGCTGTTAGGATAATGCTAAACTGACAAAGATTGTGAAAAAGGGATGAGGCCTCAGAAGTGGTTTCTGATTCAAACAAGTTACACTTGAAAATTACATATAAAACATCAAGGGTGTCTACATAAAAATGTTTTTCACCAAAAATCCAGTTAAGGGCCTTTTCTTTTGCCCACCATCTTGTCTCTCCAATTTTTTGTAATTTTAAAAGTTTTTCTTGTCCATGTCTTCTATCAAGTTGGTCTCTCCAGATATTCATTCTTTTGTGGGAGTCTCCAATAAATGTTGCAAAACGATTTAGGAGACCCAAAAAAATGTTTTGCTTCCAATACTTGACAGCAATCTGAGACACACAGCTTAAGGATATGACTATAGCACCAAATACAAACCGCATCTGGCACTACCTTCGCAATCTGTGCATCAAAACAGGACATTAGAAGTTTGTGAAAGCCTTTTCCTGTAGCATCTTTAACAGGGAGAGTCACCACAAGGCATTCTTTAATGGCTTCATCTTGCACAAATCTCACAACTACTGTTGCTTGATCTACAATTCCAACATCTTGCGTGGAGTCAACCTGTATAGTGAATCGTTTCTCTCCAATTTCAGACACAATTAAGTTTTTCATGCTTTGAACTATTGCTGCAAATACTTTTATTGTATTATTGGACAAAAATGTCACAAGAGATCCATGTCCAGTTGAATGTTTTCCTGATGTTTTTTGTCTTTCAATCGCGGTTTTCTTTTTTCACTGTCCTGAACACATTTATCAAGGTGATTTTTAAGAGGAACGTCATACTGTGATAGAAGTAGGACAGTTTCCAGGAAGTTTCCATGGTTTATTTCAATGTTATTTAAATTGTACAGCGATTCATTATTGCGATGGGCACTAAATGGCAATCCCTGTTTTCCAATATTAAATATACGGTTTAATACCTCAATATTTTGTAGTATCTCCTTTCTTCTGGAGACGTGAGCCTGATTTATCAATGTGTCAATGCTTCTATTCATTTTCATGGTAAAATAAGCACTAACAGCATCACAATTACTTTTTGAAAATTCGTGCTTATTTGCTGCCTGATAGCAATGTTGAAAATTAGTGAACAACCATTAGTGATCGAGGAAGAGGAATAAGAAAAGGCAATGCATATGCTGCAAAAAAAAAAAAAATGCTTCTAACTTTCGATCCTTTATCTTACAACTCAACCATGAACGCTTAATATGATCCCCATTAGACTTTTTGTGGTTATAAAAGTCTGCTTCTTAAAAAGGAAGATCTGCGCATTCAGTGCTGGTTGGCTGAAAAGGGTGTTTTAAAAAAAAAAAAAAAAAATTTCTGCTATGGAAAATGCAGGAGGAAGACAAAGATATTTCTGATGGATCACTTATAACACTTTCTGACAAGTCTTCAGGTGTGATACATTTTAATTCAGGAAGGTCTTCAAAAACATCTGGGTCATTTTACGCTTGCTCTCTGCATTCTGACACCAGCTCCACCTCAATCACCTGTTCTTCTGCTTGTGGGCTCACCTCATCTTAGACGGACACAACTGGCATGCTTGAAGGAGCACTTGGGCCGGCAGAAACCTCATCAACAGGAATTCTTGGGTTTATACCACCAGCCTAAAACAACATGTTTTTTTTTTTTCCAACCTATTTTAATCTCTCCAAAAATGTTCTAGATGTAGACTGGAAGAAAGAAGATTTCGTCTAAGGCAAAGGAAAGGTTTTTTTTTACTGTAAGAATAATCAGGATGTGGAATTCTCTGCCTAAAGAAGTGGTTTTATCAGAGTCCATACAAATGTTCAAACAGCTACTAGATGCATACTTGCAAAAACAGAATATTCAAGGATATCTTTCAATGTAGGGTAATAACTGCTTGATCCAAGGATAAATCTGACTGCCATTTTGGGGTCAAGAAGGAATTTTTTTCCTAGCTTGTTGAAAAATTGTGCTTCAAACTGGGTTTTTTTTGCCTTCTTTTGGATCAACAGCAAAAAACAAATGTGAGGAGGGCTGAACTTGATGGACACAAGTCTCTTTTCAACTATGTAACCAAGAAACTACAGGAACTCCATGAATGGCAACAAAAAAAACAAACAAAAAAAAACCCACACACACACACACACACACACACCTCATGCAAACAAAGGATATACAATTCATACTTACCTTACATGTAAGATTTTATGAGATTTCAAATAAGTAAAAATATATCTTAAAAAAAGTAAAACTTATCACTATGGAAAGTCAAGTATGCACACTCCTTGATAATCCATCATGAAGCTTAACAAACGTAAAACGTCATCATGCACATGCAAACAGACTACCGTATATACCCAAGAAAGTCGTAAATTTCATTTTAAAAAGCAGATACACAGGTCCATGCTGGTTTCACTAGAATTTTGTTCACAATTAATGCGGGGTAATATCGAGTTACCAGTAGTGCTAGTGTACTTAGCTGTACGTTGACCCAGATACCGGGTACACACAGGGACAACAGCAGGCTGATTTAGTATACAGTGCAGTGATTGCTGATGACTGCCACCTATTGGTACCCTTTCCACATCACTGTTGCAGCGATGGCTGTAGTGAGCCACAAGCAGGACCACTAGCTGGCAAGATAACGCTAACCGAATGTGCCTGCCGCATTCAGGCACTGTCATCTTAATATCTTTGGAGCTGGGCGTGTGCACTGAGATGCAGAAAAGAAGGTACCGTAACTGTTTGATTGTTCCAGGATCTTTGCCTAGGTAAAATCTGACAAAATAATAAAAATCACAGGATTTCATAGCCCCAAGTTTTACCCTCAACTTATCCACGAGTAATAGCATATTTCGCAATTGTTGGTAAAAAAACTGCACTCGACTTATAGACAAGATCAATTTAAAGAAGTGTTTATACTGTAGATATATTCATTCTTGTTATCAAAAGAGTGAATATACATTTCTGTGACATAAAATGTTAGAAATAGCCTTAAAGCGGCACTGTCATGCCGAATCCGTTTTTTTTTTTTAACCCCCCTCCAGCTTCCACTACATCTAACTGACACCCTAGTCACCCCCAAATGCCCCTAAGCCCCCCACATTACCTATTTTTTAATCTTTATTTTCTGCCCCAATCTTTATTCAGGGCGCAGCCATCTTTGTGTGGGTAGATGAAGTCCCTGTGGGATACGTCATCAGCCCACACTAGATAGACTGAGATTCCCGCACATGCCCAGTGAAACACCTGGACATGCGAACGGGAATTTCATCTATTCATTCATTCATTCGACAGCCGAATGAGTGAATAGAAATATCAGCCGAACAAACAAACACCGAATATCAGTGTTCGTTTGTTCGCTCAGTTTATTACAAGGAGGGAGCTACCAGCTCGCAGCTCACTCCTTGTAATATGTAAAGATAGAAGCGGCAGGGAGCAGTGCTCCCCACCACTTCATAAGCCCCCTAGGTCCCCCCTCACTCTATTGGGGGTCAATATGACCCCCATAATAGCATAAGGGAGATTAAAATATCCCCAAAGCCCCTACATGCTACACCGTGAGTAGGGGCATGTCCACTAAACTGACCTACTGTCCTACCCCCCCGGTCCCCACCCCTCGGTGGCGGGTGGGGGCCATAATGATAATGGGGGGGACCTACTGTCCTCCCACCCTGCCCCCACCCCTGGGCGGCGGGTGGGGGCCAAATGATAATGAGGGGGGGGACCTACTGTCCACCCCCCCTCTGGCCCCCACCCCTGGGCGGCGGGTGGGGGCCATAAAGATAATGAGGGGGGGACCTACTGTCCTCCCCCCAACCCCACCCCTGGGTGGCGGGTGGGGACCATAAAGATAATGAGGGGGGGAAAACCTACTGTCCTCCCCCCCTGGCCCCCACCCCTGGGCTGCGGGTGGGGGCCCTAAGTAAATCCCCCCCACCAGGTGACTAGGGGTCACCAAGCCCCTAGTCACCCACCCCCCCACCCAAATAAAAAGTCCCTACCTACCCCCCCTCACCCTAAAAAATAATGAGGGGGGAATAAAAATAACTAACCTGTAAAATAAAATTAAACTTACCATTCAACGTCTTCTTTTTTCTCAAATCTTCATTTTTCAGCCCCAAAAAATAAAATAAAAAACCATCATAACCGTCGAACTAAAAAAAAAAAAAAATATATAAAAATCCAGAGCGCAAAAAAAATATAATCCATCTTCACCCATGGAGGGCTCTGTGCAGACTGAGCTCCGCAGGGCGGGGCAAGGCTTATAAAGCCTTGCCCCGCCCTGCAATTAGGCTAAGAACACTCTGATTGGTGGGTTTAAGCCAATCAGAGTGCTCGTCATTTTACACAGTGTGGGAAAATTCTAAATAATTTTCCCACTGTGTAAAATGACACAGAGCACTGTGATTGGATGGATTTCAAGCCATCCAATCACAGTGCTCTGTGTCATTTTACACAGCATGGGAAAATTCCAGAGAACATTCCCACGCTGTGTAAAATGACACAGAGCACTGTAATTGGATGGATTTCAGACAGTAGGTCCCCCCCCCCCCATTATCTCTATGGCCACTTCTGAAGATACCGGCAGCTGCTCTCTCAGGATGCTCATATGCTCGGCAATGAAAGGTGTGAGGGTGTTCTGTCCAGTGTGTCGTGCAGGTGGAGGCTATGTGCATGTGCTCTTACCGGCCGTGACTCCATGCATGATGTCACGATACGCGCTTGCATGTGCTCATTCAGGCGCAGGGGAGGTCAGAACGAGGAGCCACCGAGCCAGTCCGTCCTACACTATTTGACCATGCCGACTGCATAGGGAAGGATCGGAATTCTGAAGGCACGGCCGGCGGAGCTCAAGAGGCAGATGCCTTGGTGGCCCTCAAGAAGAACTGGGTCGGGGCAGCTGCCCCTTTCCCTGCGTTAAAGACAGCCCAGCGGCCATTTTTAACATGCTTTAAGGTAGCCTGGGGGGCAATTGTCTCCCTGCCCCCCTATCCCAGCCCACCCCTTGTGTCACATCACCTACAGACTCCCTGACTATGGAGCCCTCTCCCCAAGAGCAGAGTCTACAGGCGATGATTAATGCGGCGATGGCCGCCTCCGTGAAAAAGGCCCTGGCTAGGGTTCTCCCTTAGGTACCCCAGATTGGGGCACTAGAGGGACCCCTCAAATGGCAGACGACTCGGCAGAGTCAGACTCTTCTATAAGAGAGCAGGTAAGTGCGCAGAAGCGCTATTGGAAGGGTGAAGGCCCTGAACCGTGCTCCCAGAAAGGGAAGCCTCCGGCGAAGTGACAAGGCTCTACGCTATTGGCCTCACTAGCCAGGCACTGCCGCTTGTCAGGAGCTGGGGAGAAGACCTCCGTACACCCCTCACTCATGGCCGTCCTCGATGAATGTCGGGCAGACCAGTCCCCCTCAGAGGAAGATGAAGTTTGGGACGAGGATTCTGGAGACCACCCCAAGTGGCACCGTGAGGCTGAGGACACCTCCATGCCTGTGGCAACGGCTGCGGACGAAGATGTTTTTCCTGGACGCCACGGGCAAATCCCTGTTCGACCCGTGGCCGTTCGACAACCCAGGTCCTCCGAATGGTCCCTTCCATTAAGCACAATTCATGCATTACTGGGTCCGCAGGCCTCTGGAT